GGTGGCTGGTGCGGCGGCAGAAGCTTCAAGGGTTTTTTTTTTTTTTTTTTTTTTTTTGCTGCTCGTGAATGCAGGGAGAAGAAGAAGAAGAGTGTTCTCTCTTTTTTTTTTGTTTACGTGTGAAGGAGGAGAAGTGTGAGGGTTTTTGAGGGTTTTATTTGGGCCTTGGGTTTCCTAATTAGATTAATAGTAAAATTTGAGGTTTTGGGCTATTAAGTTAAAATTGTTTGTAAATTAGTCAAAAACATATTAGTTTACTTAAATCTTTTCATAAAAATAATTTATTCAATGAAATTGACATAAAAAAATATTTGTAAGACTAATATATAAATAAATTATAATTAAATTAAAAATATGGGGGATTACAAAAGTATATCATATAGCCACTAGAGGATATCATTCAATCAATTGAGGATATCATCCAACCAATAGAGAATATTATATAGCCAATAAAGGATATCATCCAGCCAATAGAAATATCATTTAGCCAATAAAGGATATCATCCAGCTAATAGTGGATATCATCTAGCCAATAGAGGATATCATCCAGCTAATAGTGGATATCATCCCGATGATTGAGGATATAAAAAATCCGCATTTTGTCAGTCCGGACTAACGAATCATTTCATTAGTTCGGATTGACCCAATACCTTCTCTTGTGGTTATTGATTGTTTGATAATGCATGATGATTCCTATTGATTGTTTTATTGGTTTTCAATTAGATTTGGACATGTCTGACTAAATTAGGCCCTGTTTTTTAGAGCTGCTCTGCTATGCTGAAATCTGCTCTACTCTGCTCCGCTCTGCTTAAAAATAATACTTAATAATGAATTATTATAATAATAATTATTATTATTATTATTTAATAATAATAATAATAATAATAAATAATAATAATATTTAATAATAATAATGATAATAATTAATATTGAATTATTATTATAATAATAATTAATAATTAATATTTAATGATAATAATATTAAAAATTAATATTTAATAATAAAAATAATAAATAATTAATATTTAATAGTAATAATATTATTAAAAATTAATATTTAATAATAATAAATTAATTAATATTTAATATTTATAATATTAATATCAATAATTAATATTTAATAATTATAATATTTATGATAATAATTAATATTTAATAATAATAATAATGATAATAATATTTTCTAAAAAAATAACGATAATAATAGTAATAATAATAATTATTAATAATAATAATTTTTTTATAATAAAAATTAATATTTAAAGATAATAACTAATATTTAAAGATAATACTATCTAATTATTAATTTTTAATATATATATCTTTAATAAATATTATAATAATAAAAAGAATCATTAAATAATATTTAATAATTATTATAATAATAATTAATATTAAATAATACTTCGTAATATTTAATGATTATAATAGTAATGCGATAATATTAATAATAGTAGTAATGTTATTCGGGATACCCTTGTTCGGCATAATGTTTGTTGATGTTATTCGACATAATGTTGTTCGAGATACCCTTGTTGATATTTGCTATCGGTCAGGGATTTCAGCTAGAAAGGAGGTGAACATTGGGTTATCTGGAGGGAACGATGGGGCTCTCAGACCTGCAGATGTGTTACTTTATTCATGAGATCATGGTCGCGATGTTTGTGTTGACTTGACAAGGTCTTCTCTATTGTAGGCTTTCTGACTTTGTTCCTGGACGGGTCGTGATTGATGCGGCCAATTGGAAGCGGGTCAAGTACGAATCCATTTGTCGAGCAATTCGATAGATATGACTTCCCTCCCTTCTCTTTCTCCTCTCTTGGGGAGTTAGAAAAGGAGGTTGTTGCATTGGTGAAGCGGATCCAGAAGTTCTCGAAGAAGGATATTGGGGCACGTGCTGCAGCTCATATCTTTACTAGGATCGGCTTTTCTATAGCTAGAGGAGTGGGGGCCCAGATTGTATCTTGGCTTCCCACTAATTTTCTATAGGTTGTACAACCTTATCTGTTTCTGAGATATAATAAGTATTAATAATAATAATAATAATAATAATAATAATAATAATAATAACAACAACAACAACAACAACAACAACAACAACAACAACAACAACAATAATAATAATAATAATAATAATAATGAAATCTGCTTGGCTCGGCTCGACTCTACTTCAATCTGCTCTCCTCTACTGAAATTTGCTATGCTCTGCTGAAATATGCTCGGCTATACTCTGCTCTGCCCAAAAGCTCAAAAGAACAGGGCCTTAGCTTTGCAATATTAAGTTATGCATGCATTGATAAGTACAATATAATTTTATATTAAGGCTAGTCTCAATAGGTAGGCTCCGCTCGTTTAGCTTGAGCTCGTGCCTTGTCAACCCTTAAAAATTGAGCTCAGCTTGAGCTTGTTATTGGCTCAAGTTCAAAATTCGGCTCGTTATAAGCTCGATTTTGAAATTAGTCTCATTTGAGTGCATCTAGACGCATAGAGATTATGTGTTTCATAAACATATAATAGGGCTTTTTGGGAATTTTATTATTTTTTTTCTCTCCCTTAATGGTATAGTGGTACATTTAATGTACCGTTATGCATGTAGTGGTATTTTTTGCCATCAATTTTGCACTACTGTTTTTTCTCTTGTTCCCATTATTTACAAAAATACCATCCTATTTGTTTCATTTTCACATAGGCCCTATGCGCCAATATTTCTCCTTGTTATTTTGCTTATATGAACTTTATTTAAATGTAAAAAAACATATAATATTTATTTTAAGAAAATAATTCGAGTTGCTCGCGAGCTTTTCGAGTCGAGCTTAGCATGACTCGTGTATCGTCTCGTTTAGTCTTGAGCCGAGACCGAACAGTTCATGAGAAGGTTCGGCTCATTAACAACCCTTTTAGACCTGGATTTAATTAATATCAAAAGCATGTCAAATTTGTGCCATGATTAATATCAATTCAAGAGAACATATTAACCTTGTTAATTGCATTGTTGATTGTGAAGATTGATTAATAATCCCGAAATATTAATGTTTTTGGTGAACCTATACCCTATACCTTAAACTTTATAATATTGATTTAATCATTCTTCGTTATTAATATTGTTTCTATATAATCTTATATTAGCATTCGACCTCAATAGTCTAGGTTTGATTGATAAATACGAGTAGGAAGTAAAAGTATTTCCCTACTTGTATAATTCTATACCCTACTTCTCTTACTACTTGATTGAGGACATTAAGATATCTTTAATTAGGTGATGCGACTTTAGTTTGACCTTTTACTAATGAAATTTTTATTTTATTTTTAATTTTACAATAATGCATAATTCAAATCATTAATGGTTAAAGATACATCTTAAAGACCATAAAAATTAAAATAGACACATCACGATAAAGGGAGTATTGTGATTAAATATCCCAACAACTATTTTTACTCTACACCACCACTATCAACAACTAATTTAAAAGCTAATCTATACACGCTATTAATCAATCGCTTTAATATCTAACATTTATAATTTTTACATATTGATAATTAAAGATATAAACGATTGAAAAAATACATCGGCAAACGTGAAAAGAAAAATGTTGCAAGTAAATAAAAACAGAGGAAGTATAAATTAGTTATAAGAGTCATTAGGTGAGCTTCATGACCTTGGTCAATATGGAACATAGGGACATTAAAATCGAGGGTGTTGTTGGTAAAGAGTAAAGACTGGCAATAGCGAGTAGCTAAGGAGTAAAAAAAGGCAAATAAGATATTAAAATAGTACTACCTCCGTTAACGGTTATTTGCAACATTTGCCAAAAATAGGTGCTATATATTATGTGCAACAAACTGATTTTTTTCCTCTTTTGGTAAGTTTTTTTGTTTGAAATGACCAAACTGTCCTCACTTAACCAACTTACTCCTTTAATTATTTCACTAACTATACTCTATTATAACCCAAACTTAACTCATCTAATCTTCTAAAGAAAAAAAAATCAAATCTGTAAAAAAACCAAACCTCTCAACATTCATCTAGTTCATCACATTTCTCACTCCTCATTCATCATCATATTCATCAAAATCTCACTCCCTCTTCGTGGTTCATCAACAAAATTTCTCTTTCCTCCTTCATCATCAAAATCTCTCTCCTCCACCATCAAAATCTCACTCCTCCTTCATCATCCCCAATTCCCCATCTTCCATGGAGATCTAAAATTGGAGGTGGTTTTGTGCGGCACGAGTATCGTGGATATGGTGGTCAAGGTTTTGTGGGTTTCGTGGGTGGATCTAAGTGTCGGGGGGTCTAGGTGGTGTTCAAGGTTTCGTAGATGTTGTGGGTGGTCTAGGTGGTGTTGGGTTTTATGGTGGTAGTTGGGATTAATTCAATTCGTGGTGGTGGTGGTTGGGATTAATTCAATTCGGGGGGGGGGGGGAAGGGGGTGGTTTGATTGGGGATTTCGTGGTTTTAGTGGTTGTTTTCAGTGGGTTTGGTGGTTGTTTTCGATAGGTTATGGTGGTGGTTTTCAGTGGTGGTATTTAGTGGATTTTGGTGGTTTTCAATGGGTTTTGATGGTGGTTTTCTGGGTGTTGGTGGTATTCAGTGGTGGTGGTTTCAGTAGGTTTGTTGGTGGTGGTTTTCGGTGGGTTCTGGGTGTCGGTGGTGGTGGTTTTCGGCGGGTTCTGGGTTTCGATGGTGGTGGTTTTTGGTGGGTTCTGGGTTTCGATGGTGGTGGTTTTTGGTGGGTTCTGGGTTTCAGTGGTGGTGGTGAATTTGGGTTCTGAGTTTGGTGGTTTATTGATTTTAGTTAATTGTGGTTTTTTAAAAATTAGATTAATACTTAAGTACTACCCTTATATTTCAATAATCATGTTTTAAAACTTTCGCCTAGGAGTCCGCACATGTCCCTTTCGTTGCAAATAACTGTTAACGGAGGTAGTATAAACTGAGACGAATCTAACAAGATCTCACATGACTATATTTATTCTTAGCTATAAATCGTCAAAACTAGTCGAGATGGAGTACATAAATAGTGTAAAAGTCAAATTGTTGCAAGTATAAGAAAACGGAGGAATTAAATTATAGCAACCGTTGTATCACACCTTAGGATAGTTAAAATGTTCTATTCAATCAAATATTCAATTTTCATGTGACTTCATCTTCCTCCAATGATCAATCCCACCAAAGAAACAGTATCATATCATAACTGACATGAAAATAACCGCAATTTTCATCGCCGGCAACAGAAAGAGTGTGAGGCACTGATTCACAACAGTATCTTTGCCGACACACAAACCCTTTTCTTTTTTGTCTGGGAATAATTTTTTTCTTTGCCAACCACAATTTTGGTCTTTTCAAGTTTCCTTTTTTATTCTCAATAATTATTCAAACTCCCTTGTTTTTCTTTCTCTTTGTTTCCCAAAAAAATCCCACAAAAGAACCCCCTTTTGATTTGATTTTAAATGGCTATGGCAAATACTAGCGAGAGCGAGAAGACGGGGAAGGAGAAGAAGAACAAGGAAGTAATTCGATTGGAACGTGAATCTGTAATTCCTATTTTAAAACCTAAATTGGTTATGTCTTTGGCTAATCTTATTGGTAATTTTTGTTCCTTAACTTTTTACTACCTCCCTTTCATATTATTTGCAAAGATTTGACAACGATTTGACATAAAATAGAGAGGAAAAATGTCTAATCGTTGCAAATAATATGTAATAGAGGAAGTATTTGTAATATCTTCATTTGGTTAATGCTATAGAACAGTTACTGGACTAATTTATCTTGATTTTTTTTAAATATTTTAATTAGTTTTTTAAAAAAATTTCTTTTCTGGTTTTTTTTTTTTTTTTTTTTTTTTTTTTTTTTTTTTTTTTTGCAAAATTGAAATGGGTTTCTTTGCCATTTGACAATATTGTTGGAAAATTTAAGGTGTTAGTTGAATTGGGGTTAGCTCAATTTTTGTTGTTGTACACATTTCTGTTTTTGGTATTGTATGTTTTTGTTAAATCAGAAGTGGGTTGCTTGATTTTGAAGAATCATCTTGTTTATGAGATAGATTTTGAGTTGAAACTTAGTTTGGGGTTTACTCACTTGGTTTCACTGCTATTTGAATTGGGTTAAAGTAATCTTTTATTGCACAATTTTGCTGTCTTGGGTCATGCTTATTTTTAGGAAATATTAAATGGGTTGCTTTTTTTTTTTTTCTTTTGACATTGTGATGCGTGTTCCTGAGACAAAAGGTTGTGTTTAAGCTTCTTGGTTTAATTCATATGGTTTCACTGTTATTTGAATTGGGGATAGATTGATTTTTGCTGTACAATTTTCTGTTTTATATTATGTTTAAATTGTGCATTCATGCAAAATTTGAAATGGGTTGCTTGCTTTGACAATATATGGAAGGTTCTAAGTTAGGTGTGTTTAAGCTTCTTGGGTCAGCAAATTTTTTATTGTGTGTTTCAAGTTGGGGTTAGTAGTCTTAGCACATTTGGTTACATTATAATTTCAAATTCTGTGTGTTGTGGCTTGCAGTTTTTTTTGGGATAAAGTGATGCAAGCTTTTCAATTTTTCGAGTATATATAAGTTGCAAAATACGTGGAAATTGTCTCAAACTCTATGACATTATGAATTTGCCATTGAATTTGGTTCAAATTCAAATAATTCAAATTTGTGAGGCATTAATGGTACCTATCTGGGAGTATGGCAGATTACTGGCACTGTCAGTTGAGTCTTGACGATTTTGTTTTTCTTTTTTATTTTTTTGAGTCTTGACGTTAAATGGAACAGTTTTTATCTGTTATTTTTTTATGCATATATATAGTGACATGTTTTTTTTTTACCCTTGAAAGCCTTTTAAAACTGTAATTTTATATATCTATTCTGGTGTGATATGCTTTAATCTGTTCAATTATATCTTGCAGAACATAGTTCCGACAGAGCAGAGTTTTTGAAGTTTTGTAAGAGAGTTGAATATACCATTCGGGCCTGGTATCTCTTACAGTTTGAAGATTTGATGGTACTGTGATGGTATTTTTTCGTTAAGTAAATTTTTGTTTCTGTTGAATGCCTTGTTATTTTTCATCATTGAAGTCATTTGTGTGATTGCTACAGCAATTATATGCCCTCTTTGACCCTGTTAATGGAGCTCAAAAGCTGGAGCAACAGCATCTATCTCCTGAAGAAATAGACATTCTTGAAGAAAACTTCCTGAGCTATATGATACAGGTGATGTGTGGTTTACTTGTTTCTGGTGACCATTTATGATGGCAGGTGTTTGGTTTTGTGCAGCTAACCATTTTAATTAAATGAAAAAGTAAAAAGTTTGGTGGCAATTTGCAATTTGTCTGTCGTGTTTGATGTGCTTTATTTCTACCAGGTTATGGATAAGAGTAATTTCAAGATTGTGAGTGATGAAGAGTTTGAAGTTGCTCAAACTGGCCAGTATCTTTTAAATCTTCCTATCTCCGTGGATGAAAAGAAGGTCTCTTTCCAGTTCTTTATTTTTGGTGTTTGTGCTAATGACTTTTTATTTCACATTTGTTAAGCTTTAACTTCTGTCTGATGCTGTCCTTTCCACTGGCATGTATTTGTTGCTGTGTTGAATTTAGCTTGACAAAAAGCTTTTGAAGAGGTACTGGTCGAAGCATCCCCAAGAAAATCTTCCGGAATTTGTTGATAAGGTAAAAACTGTAACATTAAAAATTGGTTTAGTGGTTGTTTGGTTGGCAATGAATAATGGAGGAATTGGAATTTCACTTTTCTTTTACATCTTCCATCCTAGTAAAATTTAATTGATTGATTTTGCACACATATTGAGAATCATCACATGGACTTTTTTACGTGTAAGACCAAAAGTATCCCCCTTTAGTTTAAAATTTATTGGCTGTATAGGTTGGTTCAGGGCTTTAGGTGTGGATAGACATCATCTCCCTTTAGTTGGTAACATTAAAGTAGGGAGGGTGGGGGTTATTGTTTCTCATATGCATTTATATGAATATTACTCCCTCCGTTTCAATTTGTTAGTCCCATATACTATTTTGGGCGTTTCTAAAAGATCTACCCATATTGAATGTATTCTACTTTTAACTTAGTTTTTATTATTTTATAAATATTAAATTATGATTGGTTAAATTAATGATTGTGCATTGATGACATGAGTCTAAGTAAAGAAATTATTCCCTTGAATTATGTAGTTATACTTGACGGTTTCCTAAAAAACACAAAAAAGTTTAAATAAGGAAAAACTATTTATGAATTGTTTTTGACTTTAGTGTTAGATTCCAAATATTCTTCTTTTCTTATTTTATGTGATAGATTCCGTATGGGACTATCATATTGAAACGGAGGGAGTATTATTTTCTTCTGGATGATGTTATTAAGTTAAAATATGTACTAATTCTGATTTAAGTGTTTCACCGCGATTCTGGTCTTAAGATTGATATTAGTAGTTCTTTTGTCTATTATCTTTAGCTTAACCTGGATTACTTTTCCTGGCCATCTTTGTTGGCAGGAATACATAAAGTTTGGATTACTGTCTTTGTATTAAGGAAATGTTTTTAATATACCTATGGTATTTAAAATACACCAGTGTATATGTATACAAATTCATCTACTACCGCTAAAATTGATGAACATAAAATTTCCTTAATATCTTTATAACATATTTTGAAAAGTTAACATCATTGTGCAACATGAACTTTTAGAAAGTCTGGTCAGTGTGCGTTGGACTGTTGGGCTATTAGATGTTATAGGCTTTCTGATTTTGAAAGGGAAATTTTGAATGTATTTGATTTCGTTGTTGAGACTTTTGTAGCTGTGCTAGATTGTTGTTGTGACTTGGGGGGAGAACACATAGGACGATGCTTTGGAGGTGTGCACATATGGTTATGATTGTGATTCTTTAATGATGTCTATATATATATATTTATATGAGGTCAAATGAGAAGATCCTTAAAATGAGAGGGATGAAAAGGATTTTATGCGCATAATTTTTGTATTGAATGTGCATAATTTTCGAACTAAATATACAAAAAAAATAAATAAATCGAGAGACATTCAATGTGCATAAATTTTGAACATAATATGCAAAAATTTTTATTAGTTCGAAAATTAGTTTTGCACATTTCTTCCTTCTCGTTCTTTCATTTTAAGAAATTTCTCATTGGACCCCAACCCTATATATATATATATATATTTGTGTGGGTAGAGGTGTTTGGAGTCTAGTAAGCTTCTTGGTGGTATGTGATAATTGCTGCCTTTTCTAATTTAATGCTTTCCGTCGTCCAGTACAAATGACTTACGCTACAATTTTTAGAGGATGCCTTGTCCTTGTATTTTATACCGTGGTTCTTTGTTTGTATATATCTCTTAAATAATTTTATTGTTGCTTGGGGATGGTTATATTGAAGATAGATGGATGTAAACTTGTACAGTGAGTGAATCATATCAGCATTTGAGATTTGTTTTTCATGTCTTATATTATTGTGATAAGGTTACCTTTTTCCTTTGGTTGTCTTGGATTTGATGCTTATATTTTTATATCATTTTTTTTTTCTCTTCTCAGTATGTAATATTTCGACGTGGCATTGGTGTTGACCGCACTGCTGACTATTTTTTCATGGAAAAAGTGGATATGATCATTTCACGCATATGGGCAAAGCTTTTGAGAGTGACTGGGTGAGTAATAACCTGACACTATAGAACTTGTATCTTTTCATAACTACTACTTCTAGAAGTGTTTAGAGACAAAACATAGTTTGCATATTGATTGGGGTGAAATGTTATCTGGCTATCTGCGACTTGCTGCAATATTAGAAGGATCAGGCACAGAACTTCTACAAAATTTGGTACATATGATTAAAAATGTATGATGCTAATAGTTCAGGGAAAATAGATACGTGACGTTGAGCTACCAGTTTATTTTTAAAATTTTTTTTTATTATTTATTTTAAAAGTTAGATCGTGTATAAATTGACTACTATATTCAAGTTTATAAAATTTTGGCAAGTGGAGTTGATAAAGGGATGTTTTCGAATTATTCTAAAATTCTACGCGAAGTGCTTGTTTACTTTCTTATGTAACTGTTATTGATTCCAACTTTTTTAATTGTAGTGAGAACCCATTCTAACATTTTATCTTTATTGAAAGAAATACTGAAATACTATCAGAAGAAAATTATGGGGAATCTGCATAAGTATAAGTTGTGTAGACCTTTCGCGTGCTCTTAATAACTATGATAACGAGTTCTGTTATCTTGGTGAATTTTGTTTTCATTTTTTTGCTGTAAAGATTTCTTTATAAATTAACCGTTAGATTGATTGACAGATAATGCTGTGTTACTAATATATCAGACTAATATGACAATTAGTAAATGATAGAGCTGAGTGGCTTAAATTTAAACATTGGATAAAAGCAGGGATTTGTTTTTTATAAATATATATAGAAAACAGGGGAATAATCTTGGAGGCTTTGGAGCTGATGCTCTGTAAAGGGATGATGTGATTAAAGTGAAGCTGTGAAGGGGCAGTGTAATTGGGGGGATTTTTGTATTTTATTTTATTTTTTATATGGATATAATCATAGTTTAGATGCAAATTTGCAGCATACAAAGTGTATAGATAGAAATGTGTTTTAGAGTTCGGCTGAAAATAGCTATAACTAACAAGGTCGTTTGGGCTTTCTAGATCTTATTATTATAGAAATGTGCCAGTTTTATTTAAATTTAAAACATTCAATTCAGAGAATGCCTATTAATTACATCTTATCTATAAGCTAAATTTAGGGGAAATAATATATTTTTTTTTCTGAAACATAAACTAATTACTCCCTCCATGTTTTAACATTTGCATCACTTTGACTGACACATTTGTCGAGACATAACTTTGATCATTAATATATTAATTGTCTATTAGTAAAAATTGTAAAAAAATTTGACATGTAAATAGACATGGTAACTAATCCAATGATATATTAAGAGAGTATGTGAATAGTGTATAAGTCAAAGTGATGCAAATATTTAAAAATAGAGGGAGTAATATTACTTAACTATGTAAAAAGACCAATATTAATGCCTATTCTTACTATGCCAATTATAGTTGCTATAGGAAAAAGATGATGAAATATGTCCTTGGGCCCATAATCCACTACTAAAAAGACTTCATACAAAGGCTTATATGGTCGGGTGAGATATATTTTTATTAGACATGTATGAGCTATTAGTTCTTCACTATGTATTAACTACATTATTAGTATGGGAAGGTATTGTTTTAGCCTTTTAGGTTGTTATGTTCTCTTAGACTATGTGTTGGGTCCAAGATTGTGGGTTTAGAAATTTTAGTCGACGAGGACATTATCCTAATATTGGACACGAGTGCAGGGACCTGAGCGGAACATATTTTTATTTTGGCAAATTTGTCAAAAAAAAAATCTATTAAATGCCACATTTTGCGATAAAAACCTTTTAAAAGTTTTATTGTAAAAGAAAACCCGAAGTTAAAATATTAGACGACGAGGACATTATCCTAATATTGGACACGAGTGCAGGGACTGAGTGGAACATATTTTTATTTTGGCAAATTTGTCAAAAAAAAAAACCTATTAAATGCCACATTTTGCGAAAAAAAACCTTTTAAAAGTTTTATTGTAAAAGAAAACCCGAAGTTAAATTTTTTTTGTTCAAGACAACTTGTGCCTCTAATTCACTTAATTTAACTCTAATTTCTTCTAATTACCCTCTAACTCTCACTTAACCATATCATAATAAAATTAATATATAAAAAAATTAAAAACCGCCGACTCCACCACCAGCAAGCCACCATCGCCCTTTCCCCCTCCCCTGGCTGCAGCCCCCTCATCAACTGAGCCGTGCCGCCATAAATCACCCCAATCCCGGCAACTCACCTCTTCTGCTGGCCGAGACCTCCATCAAATGGCGTTTAATTAGCTTCCATCAACATTTTCCCTCACCTCATTCTTGAGCTCAACCATTTCCGACGAAACTATTAACGCTGCCGCTGAAATCCTCTCAAACTCCGGCCTCAATTCCATGTCATTCACCCTCCCTTTCATCTCTCAACCCCTCATCTTTCGTCTCTTCCACCACCCTCTTCACTCCATCCGACTACTCCTTCTCACCCTCTAATTCGTCCAAGCAACCCCCTCTCTCCTCCAATTCCATTTTTATTTTAAACTTTAATCCCTCTTATGGCACCCAACTTCGATCCCTGCTCTCCCCTCCCTTACAATTCTCTCTCCATTACTTCCTCCAATTTCAGATGACAATGTCGCCATTAATGGCGTCAAGTTCCACCGCTCCCCTGTTTTTGACGATGGGAAAGGGATGAAGTTTGGTCAGCAATGGAGGTGCGTCGCCGGAGTGAGGGTACAAAGCGGCAGATTAGATGGGGAGGGGGGCTGTTGCCAAGGGATGGGGAAAGGGAGGAGGTGGCTGCCGGGTGAAAGGGGTGGTGTTTTTGGTTTTTTATTTTATTTTATTTTATTTATAAATTAATTTAATTATTAAGGGTTAAGTGAGAGTTAGGAGTTAATTATAAGAAATTAGAGGTTAATTAAGTTAATTAGTGGTACTTGGTTGTTTTAAACAAAAAAAATTTCACAATCCGGTTTTCTTTTGCCAAAATGATTAAAATCGGGTTTTCTTTTGCCATAAAGCTTTTAAAAGGTTTTATTTTTTATTTTTTATTTTTTATTTTATAATTTTTTTCTTTTCGCAAAATGGTGCATTTAAAAGGTATTTTTTTTTGACAAATTTGCCTCCTATTTTTAACAGACTTTTTGCATGAATTCTTCCATAGAAATACATATACACACATTTTAGGCTGACTTGATTGCTAATTTTTGTTGAAATGCATATCTGAAGCCTATTTGTGAGCACATAGTGCAACTAGTCTTCTTTATTTTTCCTTATTTTTCTACATTTCTTCTATGATTATGTGGTTCAAGATGATTGAATTGTATAAGTGAGCATTGAAGGGTAGGGTAAGAATTCGTTATACCATCGTACAATGTCAAGTGTATGACATGGATATGGAAGACTAATTGAAGAGCCGAATGACATAGCTCACAGAAATGATCAATAATTATTTTCAAACGGCCCAAGGGGAAGGTCAAGCTTTCCAAAATTCTTGTATATCAACTTAGGACACTTAAGGGTAGAATGTGATCCCAAGAATATATAAGTGGTACTTGGTCTTAAGGGTCTGTGAAGATAATATGGTGTTTTTTTTCTCATTGTTTTATCATTCTCATCTTTCTTGTGTCTCATGATGGTTATAATGCTTTGTAACTTCATATGTTTCCGGGACTGTTTTTTTCCAGGATACAAAGACTTCGGTCCCTGTTCTCAAAGCCACGTCAGTCTTCTATCAAAGATAGAAAGAAAGACGATGAATATGAGTCTGATCAAGATGATCTCTATGTTGAGCGGATCAGAATCCAGAATTTGGAGTTCAGGTTTGATAACTGAATAACCCTGACTCTCCATATATGTGGTATGTCCATTGCAATAGGCAATATTGTTTTAAAGTAACTATATTTCATAATCTCTGCATTATCTGACTTTTTCTCAATGGAAGCAGAGTCTGGAATATTTTGCACATGAACTGCTAATTGTTCCAGAGTGTATGCTATTGTATATTGTACGTTATGATGTATGCATTAAGCTGCATAGTATGTGTCAAAAGTTATAAAGAACTGTATGCGTAGGATACCATGGAGTGACACTATAGGAAGACTATTATACCCTTGAGCTATCATGAAGTAATTTTATCTATAGAGTATAAATTCAAGAAAAGCCAAGTAATGTTTTGAAGCACCAAGGGTTAGCTCAAGTGGTAAGCAACTTGATGTCGCTTAAGGGGAGGTCTCGGATTTAAGCCTCACCGAAGAAAACTCTTGTTGGGAGACTCACCCGCCATAAGCTAGGTGTGTGACTCGAGTCGGATCTGGATGTAGATGTAGTAGGAGCTTAGCTCTGGTGAATCGGGTGGGCATCCTTTCTTCAACATTGCCCATCTACCTCGTGGGATACCTTTCTTTAACATTGCCTATCTACCTCTTTTGTCACCTTGTCATAGGCGTTCTCTAAATCAATAAAAAACCATATAGAGGTCCTTTTCCCTATAAAACTCCATCATTTGCCTTATCAATTGGATTGCTTCCATAGTAGATCTCTCAGGCATAAATCAAATTGGTCATTTGAAATCTTGTGCATGCCCTCCACCTATTTCTATCACCCTTTCGAACAACTTCATAGTGTGGCTCATAGTTAGAGAACAATCTTGTGTGTCTCCTTTGTTTTTATACACCAAGACCAAGGTGCACTTCCTTCAATCTTGTAGGATCCTTGTAGCCCTCTATATCTCGGTAAAGAGATCCGTTGACCCAATCAATACCAATACACCTCTACACAACTCAACCACTTTCTTAGGCTAGTGTCCTTGATGTCCTAATCTTGTACTAAAACAATTTTAACAGGTACCCATATGAGATAGAGAGGAAGGTCATTTGTTGCAATATTATTGGAGCGGAGCAAATATAAAATAAAAAAAATGATATTCGAAATGTATACATTGAGATGCTTTTAAATGGTACCCATATGACTTTATATTTTATCTTATTTATAAAGCACAACCAGAGGTCAAAGTGGTGTATGTGAAATTGTGATTAGTACAAAACTCAAAGTGGGACATATTTTGTAAAGCATTTATTTTGGAATGAAGGGAGTTCATAGTAACACACTCAATTGAGGAATAACAGGGATGTAGATTAGGCCTGTACAAAACTATCTGATAATCCGAAAATCTGCAACCGATCCGAATTTTAGGATATCCGATCCGAGTTTTCATTTCGGATGGATATCGGATATGGATTCGGATAATGGTTTTCAAATTTTCGGATATCCGAAAAAAGTCGGATGTCGGATATCGGATATCCGATCCGATATCCGGAAAAATTACTTGCATTATTATTTCATTTTAATTTTACGATTTCAAACTTTCATTATTTCCTAACCCAGCCTCACAGCTTCTCTATGTTCTCTCTACTTCTCCCTCTCAAACCTCCCTTCACCGCCCTTTCTCTCTCCTCTCTCCTTTATCTCCTCCTCACTGCCTCTCAGATCTCCGTCATCTCACAGTCATGGCTTCCTTCTCCTTCACACGGTGGCTTCCCGTCTTCCCTCATCTCTCTCACTCTCGCGGCTGCTCCGATCCTACTCCACCAGTGGCTACTAGTCACACCTCACACCCCCCTGCCCCAGATCTTCTTCTTCGTTCGTTGGCCTAATCTTCTTTTTTATTTTCGATCTTCTTTGTTCAGTCGTCGCTAATTTGCCGGTTTGTTCAGCTCACCGAATCGCCATTCATCGATCTTCTCTGATAAAGGTTATTAAAAGGATTTTGTTATTAGGAATTTTGATTTTCCATGTGTGTTTGTGTGATGTGTCTCCTCTGTTGTTGGTTTTGCTTGCCAATTTCGGCAATTTGTGGGTATTTCTGCCAAACGAAGAAGCTGCTAGTTTACAGCAGTTATAGTTTTTTGTATTTGTGACAATTAAATGATGAATATACTTTATTAGTTTACTATGTATATCAATTAAATAATAAATAGTCTTTTTTTTTTTAACAAATTAAATTAAATGCTCTTTAAAAGACTACTACCTTGTTAAAATTTGAAGTACATTGTGCTGCTTAACGATAAATAAGCAATAATATTAATGAGATTTATAAACTTGTCTTAATCAATTTCATTAATGTTGGATAATGGATATCCGAAACATCCGATCCGAATGATTTCAAATATCGGATATCCGAAATTTTCGGATCGGATTCGGATATCAATTTATGATATCCGAAGATTCGGATCGGATATCCAATCCGTGAACAGGCCTAATTGTAGATCACATAACTAAATACTGATGGGGCCTCAATTTACTTACAGCTACTGTTATTTGATATTTTACAATTACTATATATAAAGGGGTTTTTTCACCTTTTTCAAACCTTATCTTGGGCAACTTTTGACATACCTGACGTCAAGTGAATGGACCTTGGACTTGGCTGCTTGAATTGTGAGAGAAGGGAAGGACAATGCATGGTTCCTTCACCCAAGTGTACCATGCTTGGTGCACCTACATATGCAAAATGAAAAGAATGCATTATTTATACAGGTTCAAATATAGTAAACATAACTACTGAATATTTTTTTATTCTAAAATTAATGAGTAGATTTTAAAAATATTTACTTTCATCCCAATCATTTCTTTTCTTTCCTGAAAAAAAAAAAAAGAAAAAATTTGTTCCTCATTAAAATAATTATCACTCCCTAAAATTATTTTCTCTTAAATATAATTTAAGATTTCATTTTGAAAATTCAAAATTATAATTCAAAATATAAAATTTAAAATTTTATTTTTAAAATTTTATTGTGATGTATATTATTACTTGTGATGTTCTTTATATAATTTAATATTGTTTTTTATCTGAAAACATGATGTACTTTACATTTGTTTGTAATGTATAATTACTTATTAACGTTATGTTAGTTCATATGTTTATTTTGATATTATAATGATATTTATTATATATTTGTAATAAATTATTTTATATGTTCATGTTCTTTATAGTCACATGTTCATTGCTTACAGTGAAATGTTCTTTGAATTTTGTGTCCGTATCATGTTCAACTTTCATGATGTACTTTTTTTGTCACATAACGTTTATTATTTATTGTGAAATGTTCTTTAAATTTTGTCTTTGAATCAAGATTGGTAAATATACATAATTTTAATTACATAATATAATCATGTTCTTCATTAATATTACAAATGTTCTTTGTCACTACAAGAGGTCCTAAAATAATATCGTTTTCAACCTTCATGATCCTGATTTAAAAAAAATAAAAAAACAATTGAATGATAATAAATATACAAAATAATACATAATTAATATATGACATTAAAAATAAATATCATAAAAATAAAATTTCATCTAAATTATACGAATATAAAGGTCAAGTTCAAATAACATAAGAGATAAATTCCTAAAAAAAAAACATAAGAGATAAATTCAAAGAACGTAGGCCTTAAAGCACATAAAAGTTTAACATTATGAAAGTGAGCATAATATGAAATTATTGAACATTATGAAAATCAGCAATGGAAGCATATATCGTACTTATCTTAATTTAAAATGTACATTATATTATAATAGAAAGATCATAAAATCATATACAATGTACCTGACGTGTTATAAAAAGTACATGACGTAATTGAAATATTGTGCAATTAATATAATATATTTTTTTACTAATAACTTTAATTTCATAATCTAAATAATTACAAATGTAATCAAACAAAATTATAAATCAAATCACATCGACATTCATTTCAGTGACAAATTAAAATTACTAATAATTTTACAATGAATTTTGAATCACATTGTCAAAGAACATAAAATAATGCAATAAAAAACATCATCTTCATCCTCTAATTAGAATGTCATAATTAAAAAAAAAAAAATTACAGAAATCCGAAACAATTATTAATCATCATATTTCATATCAATATTGTTTTTAAATGATGTAAACAACATTAATTTTAATTAAATATGTAAATATAACATAAATTACCTTCTTCTTTTTGGATTCAAATTCAACAAATTCACCATCACCATCAAAATTATCTTCATTGTGATCATCCTTAAAAAATCGCCAATCGAAATCATGACAAAATTCATCCTGTTTTACTATTTTTGTTGTTAACCTTCAACTCTAAAATTTGAAATTCTCTCTCTAAAAATTATTCTTTCTGTTTTGAAAATTCAGAAATGAATAAATGTGGAATATATCTAATTTAGAAAGTAATAACTTTGGAATGAATAACAGAATTCCTATAATTAACCAAGCAAAATCTTTCTTTCTTTCTTTTTTTTTTTTTAAATAAAATGTACAACTAACGCTGTACATTTTCAGCATGGTGTACCATGTTTGGTACACTTGGGTGTACTTTAAAATTTTCAAGGGAAGGTAGGAAAGAAGAATTTTTTAAATTGTAAGAATTTTTTCTACTTTTGTTGGGGAAAGACACCTTTACTTTTTAGCTTGGAATTGAGATTCCTTTAATTTTGGAGTAACATCCTAGCTGGCCATTTTCATGTAGAGATCTTTTTGTTGTTTTTTCTTTTTGGTTCCAACTTCTCTTACTGAGGATTTTAACAGCATTTATGTGGATTTCTTTTATGAGTTTGAATATAGAGAGTAAGAGACATTGGTGAATCTTGTTTTAAGTTGATTTTGTTCCTTTGTGAAGTTTGATGCAAAATAGAATGTTAATGCTTCATCATACAATTCAATCACTCTCTTGTTTTTGATGTATATAACTATTGGACAGTGTCTTACATTGCTTTTTCCTTCAGTATGCGCAATCTGCTGAGCAAGATTACCATCCAGGAACCTACTTTTGATAGAATGATTGTTGTTTACAGGTATCAGCTTCTTGAGCTCATGTTCTCTGTTTTAATTTGTTATATTTTGGATAATTTTTATTGGCAGTGAAAGTAGTTACCAGCACTTATCTATGTCATATACTTCATATAGTTTATCAGTAGCAAAATTGCTGATGCTAACTAGTATATTTGTCCAGCATATGATATACCTTTAACTGTTGAAGGGCACCTATGTGATAGGGTATTTAGAGGTTCAAAGATTAAAATGATGCGTTTGTTTTATATAGTAGCACTCCAGATTATCTCACGCATTATATTTGACTGTAGAACTGTATTTATCACTGCTTTGGTTCAGTAGTCAGTTTTGGTTTTCATATTTAAGAAATTTCCTTCATTGGAAGAACAGAAAGCAGTGTGTGTTTTCCAATAAAAATAAATGCTCTCCGTGCAGTGTCTTGCTTGTCAAATTGTTTTATATTGATGCATGATTACATTAAACAATACTTGTTCATATCTTGGGAATGTTGAAGTTGAACTTTCTGGATTATTTTTTTTCACAAATAGCTAATAGCTTGTTTGATTTGATAGGAAAGCAAGTCCTAAAGGAAAATCTGACAGAGGGATATATGTGAAACATTTTAAAAATATTCCAATGGCTGACATGGAAATCGTTCTTGTAAGTGTTTCTTATTATGGCTGTGTGAAGCTTTTATAATTATACATTTTTTAAGTCACCTTTGAATCTTGTTCATGTGTATGTGTTTTTTCTATTTAAAGCCGGAGAAGAAGAATCCAAGTCTTACGCCAATGGACTGGGTCAAGTTTCTTGGAACTGCAATTGTTGGGCTGGTTAGTTTTTCAAGTTAAGAATCCTGATGGCTTGATTCTTGTAATTTTTCACTCACCATTTTAATGTTTTCTTGAGTTGTCTATTATTGCAGGTTGCTATTGTAAGTTCACTTGAGATCAAGGCTGATCCTTGGGTTATCATAGCCGTCCTATCCACATTAATTGGTTATTGTGCAAAGACATATTTTGCGTATGTATTGTCATGATTTCACCTTTCTTTCCCTTATGCTTGTATATTGCTGAAATTTTTTTCTTTAATCTAGCTTGAAGATGTACAGGCTTTTATGCTACAAATATCATATTATATTGAATTCCAAAACCTTATTAAGGCCCCGTTCATTTCACCTTAATAAAATAATATTAAGTAAAAATAATTTCAGGTTCAGTAAAAATAAGGTCAGTTATCTTAAAAGAAGAATTATAATAGAAAATCAGTAAAAATAATTTTAGTTCAGCAAATATAATTTTGTTTCAGACATTTCAGTAAAAATAATTTCAGTTCAGCAAAAATAAGGTGAAGTGAATGGGGCCTAAAACTATTTTTACTAAACTGAAATTATTTTTACCGAATTGGAGTTATTTTTGCTGAACTAAAATTAAATTTGCTGAATTGAAATTATTCTGACCGATTCTCTATTATATTTCTTCATTAAAGTTATCGATTTTTACAGAAGTGAAATTAATTTCACTTAAATGAACTTATTTTTACTAAACTGAAATTATTTTTTGCTGAACTTACCATTTCTCTCCTGTACACATCCACAACGCCACGACTTTGCTCAGCCACCATAACAACCCACCTTCCAAACTTTCCACTTAAATTACCTATTGTCTAGCACTCCAACCTCTTACCATCATAGCCTTACCAACTACCACAAAACCACCTACCCTCCACATAATCCATACGACCACCATGCATAACCTATTAAACTGCTTCAAATTCCACTAATAACCCACCAAAATCTCCCTCCCCCCCCCCCCTTTCCCGAAACACCTTAAATTCCATGAAATCAGCCAACTACCCACCTTAAAAACCCACCACCCACACAAAAATCACCCAACCACGAATGTAACCAAGACTGAGGATGAGAAATACCTCTTTTATTAATAATCATGGCTTTAAATGGTCAAATTCAACCATGAAAAATTGAAAATTCTGGATCTCAAGTTTTATGGTCAAATTTGGCAATTAAAACCTTAGTGATTGGCTACGTAGGAGCAACAGGTCGACACATGTTGGCGGCGGGTCACTGGTGGCCTATTGCCAGTGGGATGTTAGTCAAAAGGAAGGATAAGCAGGTCAGCTGTGGTATTCGGAGGGGGCCAGAGGTGGAGGTTGTAGAGTAGAGAGATGGTTGAGCAGTGGTGAGCGAAGGGAGAGATGGAGTTTAAAAATGTCAACCTGAAAACCTTGAATCAAATTTCTTTCTCCTTTCCCTTTCTTAACTTTATTCTGCTTACCCCCTAATTTTTCTTATGTTACCCCTGTTTGGCTGTTTTGGACTCTAGACAGTTTGAATTGAAGTTCAAAGATAACAGTAATAAAACATCCCTCCTTTTTCTCTCTTAATCTATATTACGCTGACATTGTCCTCCTAAACATGTCATCTCAGCCTGTTTGGTAGTTGATCAACAATTGCTCATCAACCATTAGTGCTATTATCTGATCACCAGTAATCCCCATTGGCCTGTTTTACTCTGTCGTTTCCTTTTCTCCCAGTTTCATTACCCACTACCATAGAAAGGTTGCCAGTACATCACTTACCACACCTTCATGATTCCAGCCCCCTTACTCTTTAGTTTTCCTCCGTTTCATCTTTGATCTCATAAATAACAAGTTTGCCTGTACATTACTGACCACACCTTCACATTTCCATGCACACACACACATGTTACTTTTCTTGTAACTTGTGTGCTTCTTTGTCTTGTTTTCTGGATCATCAGTTATTGCAACCCCATTATTCTTGGTATGTTATACAAATTTGACAAGATTCATATATTTGCAAATTGTAAGGAGTTGTCAACTTGTCATAGTACCTCTAATATCTGATATCCGGACTGGGACTAGAAGTCAAAACGTAACTATCAGCTTATCTAAGCAAGAGGATTAAAGGATGAAATATTTATTTACCATTAAAAATTTTCATTTTTTTTTAAAATCAAACAATACAAACTGATCAGCTTATGACATTTAGGGGTGTTTTTGGCCTTGTTTGGCAAATGGCTGTTGGCGGTTGGCTGGTTCACTTGGCTTGTTTGACCAGCTGGTATGTTTGGCTGTTTATAATGACTTTTGAAATTGGCGGTTAAAGCTGGTTGTTTATAAAAGTGTGGTAAATTAATTGTTGGTAGTTGGTTGTTTATTAGATAATTTTTGGGGGCCAACAAGCCAAAAGCCAACAAAAAAGCTACTCAAAGCAGCTTTTTCATTTTGGCTTAAAAGCCAGCTTTTTCACTGGCTAAAAAGTCAATTACCAAACACATTTTTTGGCTGTTTGACCTCATAAAAAAGCCAAAAGCCAAAAGCTAACCAAAAAGCCATTTACCAAACATGGCCTTTATCTTTGTTGTGTAAGACCACTTTTCTTCTTGGACTCTTTGTGCAAACCTTACTCTGTTGCTTATAGGTGTTTTCTAAGCTCTTTTTTGTTTTTTTTTGTTTTTTTAAATATAAATGTAGCTTGTTTGAAAGAATGACATTAGAAAAGAGGAGTGGGTAAGGGGGGTGTTTGGTTTTCCATAATCCTCTTTAAGTGCTGGCCTTCTGAGTAGAAGCCCTACTTATCGTGTATGTATGGCTATTAGTCATATTAAGTACCTAAAATCATGCATGATACTTGATGTTTCAATGCAAAAAGTTTTTTGTTTTTTTTTGTTTTTTGTTTTTTGTTTTTTGTTTTTTTTTTAAATATAAATGTAGGTTGTTTGAAAGAATGACATTAGAAAAGAGGAGTGGGTAAGGGGGGTGTTTGGTTTTCCATAATCCTCTTTAAGTGCTGGCCTTCTGAGTAGAAGCCCTACTTATCGTGTATGTATGGCTATTAGTCATATTAAGTACCTAAAATCATGCATGATACTTGATGTTTCAATGCAAAAAGTTGATGTGTGTTCTTCATATTTATGGCCCTTAATGCAGCTTTCAGCAAAACATGGCTATGTATCAGAACTTAGTAACTCAGTCAATGTATGACAAACAACTCGACAGTGGAAAGGGAACTCTTCTTCACTTATGTGATGACGTGATACAACAAGAAGTAAGTCTTTGCATTCTTCATCTTGATGGATCTGCTAACTGCAGTTTCTAACCATGTCTTTGTTCTGCAGGTCAAGGAAGTAATTCTCTCGTTTTTCATACTGATGGAACAGGGTAAATGTACTACAGAGGTAATTCAGTACTCCAAATGAAATCAAACCTCTGTAATTTGCTTCTGCCTTTTTGACAACCAAACATCTGAAATTTAATGACTTGCTTAGGATCTTGATCTACACTGTGAAGAATTAATCAAGGAAGAGTTTGGTCAGAGCTGCAACTTCGATGTAGATGACGCAGTTCAGAAGTTAGAGAAGTTGGGTGTTGTTTCTAGGGTGAGATTCCTTTCCCACCTTCATTACTAGTTGTCTTTTCTGATCAAGCTTCAGAGATCTTGTCATGGTTTAAGCCTCTCCTGCATTGTATTTGTGATTGAATAGCAGAGTAGTTTTGTCAAATTCTGTATAAATCATCTATAAAAACTTTGTCAAAACTTTCTTTTCAACTTGAGCTTCCTTATTCTAATGCGAGGTTTAAACTTCCAGGATTCAATTGGCAGGCATTTTGCCGTGAGCCTTAAGCGAGCTAATGAGATAATTGGGACAACTACAGAGGAGCTTGTTTTGAAGGCGAGACAAACTGGCCTTCAGTAATTCTTGATGCTCTTTTCGCAAGGGAAGGACTTATACACTGTCTTTAATGGTTCGATTTAAATGTAAATACAGTAGGGAAGTTTGCGTGCACTTGCCTGTTCGCCCTTTTGTATGTAACCAAGGTGAGAAAACTGGATAATTCATTTATTGGTGTTCTTATGAATATGATTATGCTCTATGCAGTGCATAATCCACAGATAGGCCATATGCATCCTTCGCTGGACCTGGCAAAAATTTGCTGAATATTGTAGAGTGGTATTGTCTCCTTGTTGCACTTGTAATTTTTTTTTAAAAAAAAGTAAACAATCTCGAGATGCAAATTATAGCTTGACACAAAACTGTGGAGGAACATGATTTCTTTGCTTCTATCTTGCTCAGAAATTATGACTTTTTTTTTGTTGTTGCTGGGAGATGCAACACGCGTCAGGGCTTCAATTCGATATCTGGTGCTTTGAGGATTAGCTTGGCTTTGAGATTGCTGGAATTTGCCATTCTCTATTTATAATGGTGTATGTTTTATACATTTTAAGCATACAAAGCCTTATTTGTGGCATTCAATCTTTGGATAAGGGTGGGATTGACAATTTTTGGGCATTCATGAAAACCAATAAAGTACATTATGAGAATTCATAAGGAGGATTTAGCTCTTAATGAATTCTCATAATGTACTTTATTGGTTTTCATGAATGAGAGCTAGAATATTATTTGGAGTTCGACTATCTTGGTCATATTTTTTCTATGTTATATAATACAGAGTTAGGTGATGATAGAATTTCTAGTTATCAATTAGGAGAGTTTTCTTTGTTACTCGTATCAACTAGGAGAGATTAGGCAATTTTTGGTGAGCTATTACATTAAATATTGATTTCTGAAAAGATGGCGAATTATTAAAGGTGTGATGGGGTCAAAATCACTTCAAAGCAGCTTAACAACGATGTGTTTTGTGACAAAAAGTTTGCATATATGAGTCAACGGCAAGCTACTATAAAGTTTCCATCTGGCAACCCCACAGGATAATGGCTCACATTTGTCACATTAGTCAAAAGAGAAAGGTCACAACTTACATGATTCGAAGCCCCTGTGTCAAAAATCCAACCCAAATCGTGCTTACCATGAACCTTGGGCTTAATTGAGTTTAGATGATCAAGTAACTGTTGTCTTTGAGAGGGTGTGATCCCCGCAAGGGATGCCCCATTGGAGGTAGTAGCCGCAGCCCTTTGCGAGGCTTGAGAGCTGCTTTGTCCACCTGTTTTGTGAGCTCGGCCTGAAGGAGCTGCATCACCCCTTCCTCGACCGCCTCCACGGCCTGCGCCCTTACTTGCAGTCGCACCACCACGGCCTGGACCTCAGCCAACCTGAGGGCAATTCCCCAACCACTCGGGGAAACCATGAAGTTGAAAACACATCGATTCATCATGCCCTTTTATGGTTACAATGTGCACATAAAACATACACCATTATAAATAGAGAATGGTTCATACTGAAGTTGAAAACACATCGATTCATCATGCCTTCGGTTCATACTGAAGTTTGAAGGCCACAGCTTGTTCACGAGTGTGAGTCGAGGAACACTCCCCCCACGCGACTGCTCGGCTTGGATGAGTTGTTGGTATGCTTTGTCGACCCTTGGCAGAGGGTCTTGCGCCAATAGTTGGCCTCAAGTTGATGTATATGCATCGTCCAACCCAATAAAAAAATGGTGCACATAGTCCGCTTCTCGTATCTTCTCAACCCGTGCCACGATATTGCACTTGCACTGACCACACGAGCAAATTGGGACCGTAACATAAGCCGTCAATTCATCCCAAATTTTAGACGATCGTCCAAAATACACAGCCACTGCTCGGTTGACCCTTGCCTGCACTCACCCAACGACCTCTTCAATTGACACACACGTGTGCCACTAACCACTCAAAACCGATTCTTCAAATTATTCCACAGCAAGCAAGCATAATCATAATCCCCAATTGTCAACCGCACAATTGGATCCAAGGTATTTTACAACCAAGAAACCAACATAGAATGAATGGCCACCCAATTCTCAAGCTTCCCAAAGTCTATCGGTTTCACAACTGTACCATCAATAAAGCCAAACTTACGCTTAGCTTTTAGAGCCTTCCTCACAGCCCTAGCCCATTCATCATAGTTATCACCCCTTAGTGGAATAGGAGTAATCACATTGCTTGGCCCGCCACTCGAACCTAGGTGAAAGGTCAAGTCAACCTTCGATTTTCCTCCATCTCCCCCTGTCATCTCTCAAGCAGGGAACTCACTCAAAGAATTCACACGAACGGTGTTTATGAAAAACAACGTTCAAGAAATTTTTTTGGATCTCACAAGGCTCTTGATACCATGCTAAAATATATTGAATAATATTCTTTGTAATTCACCTTCAATATGAAAGTATTTCCTACAAGATGGACTAGAGGATAGTACCTTGGGCTGAGAGAGACTTTTTAGGCGAGTAAACCAAGAAGAAAGTAAGTAGGAATAGGACCAGAGACAGGGAATTCCCTAGGAGAAGGTCGTTCAGTCACTTTCCGGGCTCTCCTGACTCTTGGAAAGGTAGCTTTTCGATAATTAATAATTAAGACGATTCTATAGCTGTAGAGAAAGACCCCGGCCATGTACAATAATATAGAGTAGGGAATTTGAAGGGCAAGGCAAAATATTCCCAAGATAAACACAAAATATCCTAAGATATCTATTCACAATATTTCCACAATATTCACAAATATTATCTTTCCTAATTCTTTTTTTTATTAGAGATTGAGAGATGTTTTGCTTGATTTTATTGCGAACATGAACAAAGGAAATCAATACATATAATGGTAGTTAAGGTATTTTCTAAAAGAAAACCATTATATAGAAAGTTCTAATAGAAAATTTTTAACTTTAGTGGTATTTATAATATCCATTCAACTTTAGTGGTATTTATAATATCCATATCAAGCAAGTTTTTAATTTTGTACAAGTATTATATTTGTATAGTAATGAGCTAATCACATACATAAATCGACCATAGGATTATCATCATATCATTTGATGATCTCTAATAAAAATTTGTTAAGGATTAGAGAGCACAATAATGGGTATATAGAGTATATGTTATTTTTTGGACTAGATATAAAGACACAAAAAAGAGGGAGCCCAATATCTTAACTTGATATACAAGAATTGTATTTCAAAATGGCAATTTACACTATGTAAATACAAGGAACATTTTTTTTTTTTTACAAGAAAAACTAACAACTAAAACAAGGAAGAGAACAAAAGAAACAAACTAAAAGGACCAAAAAAGGAACTATCGACGACGAGCTTAAACTGCTAGCCAATGAGCAGAAGCAGCCCATTAACGAGGAACTTTTCGAAGTTTGCAAAGTTCAAAGTTTTGAAGAGCAGACCGAATATCCCATAGCAACCATACACAAGAAATATCCCGCTCATCACCATTCCGGAGGAGAGAAAATAAGGTCAAGCACTCTGTGTAGACCAACAAGTTCCTAAAACCACGTCTAAGAGCTGCCCGAAGGGCCCAAAGGCAAGTCTGCAACCCTGAATGAATAATTACTTATGCCTACACCCTAGTGTAGGTAAATATACCTACACCCCCTCCCCCACCACTACAACCTATTTAACTCCCTCCCAAATTAATACAGATTATATGTATATCACCATTGTTATCTTCTTAAAAGCTTCATTTTATGATTTCTCTCTCCAAATACCATCATCCTTTATTTTATTTCTCCAAAAAAATTCATCATGTCCATTTTCTCCCTCCAAAACATTCATCCTTAATTTTCTCTCTCGAAAAACTTTCATATTTTTCATCATACAAATTTAATCATCATCTATTCATGTCACTTCTTATTGGAGCTTCATTGTTAACGCAAATTATTGATGAGGTACTAATTTATCTCTCCTTTTTTCATTTCATTGATTTGATATAATTGTTAAATATTGATTTGATTACTCTAATTTTTTTCCCCCAAATTGATTGTCAAATATTAGAAAAAAATTAATATATTGATTGAATCATATCAATATTTGATGTACTCTTGTGTTGAATTAGTTTAAGGTGTGTTATTATATTATATAATTATTAGACATAAAAAATTGAAAACAGAGTATTGTTGTCCTAATTTTCCGGATAGTTTGATCTATTTCGTCAGATTATTGAGATGTAAATTTAGTTAAGAGTGGAAATTAATTGTTGAAGAATGTTCACTTTCGTTATGATAGAATGTTCATTAGTGTATTAGTAACTGATCATTTGCATATTAATATACGAGCATTAAATTTCTGATATATGTTCATATTATTGTCATCTCCATCAAATTTTTTTATCTGAAAATAAAGATTTTGAGTAAGAAGTTGTGACTTCTTATACTTTTTTGTGGAAGTAAGTGAGTCTTATATTGAATTATGTTATTGTTTGATATTCTCTAATTTTTTGTTAAGGTATGATTTATATTATTAATTGTTGGCCTAAAATTTTAAAAATTGTGTGCAACTTGTTCTAGTTCTTATGATTGATATGACTAATTATGGAAATTTCTTTTTTATTTATAGCATTCATTCTCATATTGATAAATGCTCATCATGTCCTTTATATAAATGTCCATTCACATATTAATGGTTTTTAACACCCCCCAAAAAAAAACTTTTATTTTAACACCTCCCAAAAATATAAAAGTTGGAAGTTAACACCAGTTAACGATTTCCGTCACGGAAATTTAACGTGGGTCCCATAAATTGGCTTCAACTCTCCTTCGTTTTCAATTTTTTACGAAACCCACCTTCGTGGCTGCCATCCCATTTTTTCTTCTTATTCCTCCCTTCATCTTTTCTTCGTCTTCTTCCTCCCTTCATCTTCATGGCTGCCATCCCAAACTCTTTCCTTCGTTCTTGCCCACCCTCCCCTCAACTGCCACCCCTTCCCTCCCCCCTCCCTTTCCCCCACCCCTACGCTGCCAACCGAACCCACCCCCCTTCCCTTTCCCCGTTCTCGCAACCAAATCAGCTCCTCTCCAAATACCAGCCCACAATCGCAACCCCTGCAGCCACCTCCTCACTCAAACCGCAAAAAATCAATTCCCAACATCAATTCCCGAAATCAGAGCAAATCGCAGATCCATCGAACCTCGTCTAGAAATCAATTTAAGTTTGCCGAAAAAAGTTACGGTGTGGTGGTTTAGGGGTTAGGGTGGCCGAAAAGGTTAAGGCGGGTCGATTCGTTAGGGTTTGGAGCAAAGTGTTGCAGAAGAGTGGTGGTAGTGGTGGTGGTTGCGGCGATTCAGATCTTTGATTGTGGTTTCGGTGTGGTGGCTTGGGTCGGGGCAGCAGGGGAAAAGGGAGAGGGTTGGGTTGCGTTTGTGGGGAAAAGGGGTGGGATGGGTTCGCCGGTCGTCGGTCGGGGGAGGGAGCTGGGTGGCTAACGGGATGGGGCAAGGTTGGTTTC